AAACTGTGGGCTTTGGCTTCATCATGCCGCTGAAGGTCGCTGGCTCTGTGGAGCACTCTTCGGACTCCTGCTGCGGAACCTTGGGCCATTATTGGGGGTAATATCCCTCTACTGTAATAGTTTCCATGTTCTTTTCCATTATCCCTATATAACCCTAATATATATTCTAACATATTGCAGTACTTTCCATGTTCTTTCCACTCTCTCCATGAAACAAACAGGCTCCTTATCCTGCATGTGCACCGAACTACTTCCTGTCGCCTTACAGAGCCTGCGGCGCGTGTGAGCAAGATATTGCAACTGGCATCTGCTAGGTAACACATTTTTTCGGAGCATGCATGTCTAAGGATGTCATTCGGTGGCACAGGAGGCTTTGACTTCAAGTCGAGGTCTGGCCAGAGCACCTACCTGCTAGGCACTCTAGCTACATCAGCCCCAAGCTCTTCCTCTAGTGACGCTAGTGCTTGGCTCAGGGGCGACATGCTGGGTCAGCTGATCCGCGATAGATTGCCACTGAGCCCGCTGGGCAACGATGAGGCTGTCCAGACTCCTCACGGATTCCTGCAAGCTTGACGCCTGTCCGGCGAGACATTCATCCAATCCTTGGTGTTCAAAGCAGCTGCCTGCCGAACTAGTTCGCCTACAGGAACCCTGCCCGGGTCCATTTAGTATATGCCACCCGTTTCCGTATTAAAAGCATAATGATACTGCGAGATAGGATCACCATCACCATATCTTTTGCACTATATCATTGTGAGCACGGGTGTCGTTTGGACGCTGCTAGTCACAACTAGTCTTTGTGAGCCCTCAACCCAAACTCCCTGCTAAAGCTCATCCTGGGTACAACTTAGGGAGCCTATTCACCCAGGCTCAGTCTCGGCGTGTAAAAACTTTGCCTTGCAATATGATTGTTATTCAGCTCCTTGACTCTATCGAACTCTATCGAACATGCAAAATAGGTCAAACTTTAAAGGTGTGAAGTCTCGTTTGATGAGGTCATCATCTCGATTCCTTGCAGATGCGCAAAGCTCGCTGCATTGTGCTTCAAGCTTTTCTTGCAGCCGTATCCAGACCTCAGAGTCTCAAATTGCCAAGCCATGGATCACGCACGCCATGCTCACACATCCTCGCATCTCCGTTTGCCAAGGCATCGAATGCATCTTAAGGCTGAGCCTGATTGTCCGCATGCGTCAACAGCCTTGCCACCAAGCATCGGAAGCAAGACGCTCCGCTAACTGCGCTTCTGAGTCCGTGCGTACGGCTGCCCTCACTGGGCTGACAGTTCGATCCTCCGCAGCCAGTTGGAAAGGTCGTGCCACATGTCCTGCTAGATGACTCTGGCCGTGCTGTCCATGCAGCCAAGGTTCTCCAGGCGCCCCCAGCCATTCGGAGCCTGGACGCGTAGGGCACTTGTTCCGTGCTGGCTTGCCCTCCATCCTCCGCAGCTATGGCATGGCTCGGCCGCGAGGAACGGCTTTCTAGCCAAGTAGATACGTCGGCTTCTTAAAATAGACCTGCAGGCCCTACAGAAAAACAGTCTTGCCGGTCAGCTTCTGTGTTGTGTCTTGCATATGCTTTTGAGCTGCCAGAAGTCTCACTTTTCTGCATTGCTTTCTGGGATGAAAGGATGCTGAAAAAGCTGATTCGTTGAATTGGAAGCGGCCACATCAGGAAGGGTTCGGCTTTGCGACTGCAGCTTGGACTCACAGAGAGCCACAGTCCATATAAAAATTCGAATAATACTACTAATAGTACTCATATTCCACTAATACTACCAATAATTTGACTAATATTCTTGCAATTCTCATAATAATACCAATACTCACAATACGAATTTCTAATAGTAACACTAACATAAACAGCCCAAGAAAGGCACCTGCGTAGGGTGGCTCCAGGACAGCTCGCTGGTCAGGTGTCAGGTCTTCAAGCATCTCCTACGGGGATAATGGAAAAGTAAATGGAAACTGGGATTATATTAGGGTTATATTGGGGTTACACTAGGGTATATTGGAGTTATATTAGGGTTATGTTGGGGTTTTATGGGAGTAATGGAAAAGGAAATTGAATGGAAACTACTATAACAGGGTTTAGGGTTTATGGAATACTGGAAAAGAAAATGGAAACTACTATAGTATAATAAATTGGGTATATATATAGCAGGTTACAAAGATAGAAGGATTCCACCCTAGAACCCTAAACCCTGAACCCCTAAACCCTAAACCCCTAAACCGTATTCCATTCGCTGCCCAACGTGCCAGACAATCCTCCGGCCACTGCGGCGCCTGGCACGATGGAGGGCGCAGTGAGAGGTTTCCATGTACTTTTCCATTGTTCCCAGATAACCCCAATATTACCCTAATATTACCCTAATGTAGCCCCAATATAACCCTAACATAACCACAATATAACCCTAATATAACGCCAACATAACCCCAATATAACCCCAATATAACCCTAATATAACCCGAGTTTCCATTGTAAGTGCATTGAGCCACTATGAGCCACTTGCGGCCAAGCTGCATAACTCCGGCCGTACGCCACAGTTGCAGGGGCAAAGCGATACAGCGCGATTCGCCTGCGCTTCGCCAATAAGCTGGCAAAGCGGTTCGCTCAAAAGAGTTGAATGGCAATACAACATCATCATCATCATCATCGTCGTCATCATCATCATCATGCGTTTGTAGTATATATACACTGACCAACATTCCTGAGGAAGCCTATATACTCTCACCAGAGACCCTAAAGTTTCATTCTCCCTATGTTATCCCTAACAAGGGCCCTCACAGCCCTGTAATCCGCAGATATCCCTTAGTGGTTGTTTATGGTACCACGTTTTGAGAGGCTCCTGCATCAGTTGCGGCCTTTCATGCTCTGCAGTCCAGGCCATGGCGCCGTGAACAGTTGCTTCTGAGAAAAAGATGACATCACCAGCACCTGAGCTAGAGCAGCATTACCATAGGATAGTTTTCATACATGGGGGGGTGGGTGGGTTATCTTATACCTCAATATACTATAGAATGCTTATTCTAGGAACCCCCGAAAAGGGCCATACAGCTGATACAAAACAACTGCATGCCGAATGAGCCAGGTCTACTATAACACCGTTATTCCCAAGGCGTAAGGTACTTTCTCTGGATTTCAGTATAAGTGTATCCGGCTATACATGTATTACCTGACGACTGATTTGCTACCTGTCATCCATGTGCTGCCGTTGAGACAACCTCGTTTTGGTCATGGGAGATGAAAATTCGGTGCTACGCAGGGTATCTCATGGCATAGGGGTTTAGCAAAATTAGGGGTCCATTTTTTAGTGGTACACAGAATGAGGATTGTGCTATACTGGGGCCTATATTGGAGCCCCACAAATCAATGCCTTACTGGTGCTTTGGGGGGTGAGGGAATATGATCCCGATATAACCCCTGTACAATATATTCCCTTCTTCACTACCCTAAACCCTGTATGTGTATATATATATACAGATATATATCTATATACAGATAATATATTATACATGTATATATACACACATATTCCTGTATTCCCTACTAACCACAAGTAAGATGCTTCTTTGCAGAAAGCCGGGCATTCGGCGAGTCTCAGGCTGGTAGAAATGCGCCTGCTTCCCAGCGAAAATGCAAGGGGGGTTGAGGGTTTAGGCGTTTAGGGGTTTTAGGGTTTAGGGGTTTTAGGGATTTAGGAGTATATGTTGGAGTTATATAGGGATAATGGCAGACAAAACAGAAATACTACTCTAGAATGGGGTATATATGCGGATGGTATGTGTCCTGATCACAGTCCTCGTAACTGTTACCATTTTTGATGTCGCAAATGCTGAAAGTGCCAATGCTCACACAGAACGTGGGTGTCCTAATCACGATCCACGAACTGTCATTGTTTTTGATGTTGCAGATCCCCAAGATGCCAACAATCACCGTGTCCCTGCCCACCCAAAACAACGGGGGGGAGGGGAAAGATCTGAATGAATTGACACGAAGTGTGACCGCCAGTGTTGGGAAAAAAAAGCACACCCACCACACCAAAGGGGGGGCAGGGGGAAAAGATCTGAATTACTTGACAGTCATGGAAGAAAGCAAGCCCACCAAACCACAGGAGAGGACTAGGATCTGCCAAACCTCTCCAACATGCAAGTCTTGATTCTGCAAAGTGACACTCACTTACAATAATGCTAGCAACTGTGGGACCTTGTACCAATGTGACACCATTGCGGGGGAGGGGGCTGCCGAGCACTGCACCATATATTGGGGGTTTGTAGGGAATACGGGCTATAGGGATTTTATTCCGTTATTCCCTGCTAACCCCCGGTAAGTATCATTTCTCACTATGAAACATGCTTATCCAATACTGATTCATAGTATAATGAATTACACCCAGCTCTTATTCATAATTTTGATTGAAACTATTATGAACATAATGCTTTTGATGCTGACTGCCTTCCCCCCAGCGCATCGTGCCTGAGCTTCCTCACCGCCGCCGTGCAAGAAATCGTCAGGCACTGGAAAGTTGCTTTTGTGAGACCTTGCACAGCCCTTCTGTGGGCTAGCAGGGAATAAGGGAATATATTGTACAGGGATTATATTCCGGTATTCCCTACTATTCCCCATTGAGGTACTCTGCAGGCTGTGTCCAGGTACAGTACACACTAGGCATTGGCACATGGGCGCTTCTAATGAATGACCGCTCACAGGGTTGCTTGCCTAAGCGATCCTCATAATTGGGCTGTCTGTTTGGAGGGTAGCAAAAATACAACAGGCTCACTTGCAGGGCTAGGGCACCAGGCCCACGGATAACGCAAAAGCCTCCGTCGCCTGGCCGATGGTCAACCAGCTGGACAGACCTGAGTCTCCCTATACGGGTCCCGAAATAGGAGGACCCCACTATAGTCCCTAAAATACTATAATCCTTATTATTGGGACCCCTAAAAGGGTACCCCTAATTTTGGGAGACCCCCATACACACTACTGGAGCAGCTTTAGACAAACTATGCTTGGCGATGCAGTGCTGGTGTGACTCAGATATACTATAGTAGTTTCCATTTTATTTTCCATTATCCCATTATTAAACCCTAATATACTATAGTAGTTTCCATTTTATTTTCCATTATCCCATTATAAACCTGATTCCACATGAACCAACTCCAAAGCCAAGGACAACTTGACACGAGTTGACAAGGCACAGTGGAAAGAAAAACTGTGCTGGTTGGCTCTCCACTCTGCGCGTCACTCCATGGCAAAATGCGCGAGACTGCCACGAACGAGGGTCACGAAAAGTCCCTTCAAAATCACAGTGCTGAATTTTTGGAATCAGAGATCATGCTTGCAGCGCACGGATGGTTCCAGTCCCTGTTTTAAGTGCCTTCTTACAAAAATGAGTCCGCCACACGCCGAGCAGCGAGTTGTAAAACTGACCTTGAGACGAATCATTCTGTCAGAAGATCTCAGTTGCAGCCTGCAGCGAAACTCCTGGGACTATTATTGTTATTCCTATTGTTGTTCTGATTGTTGTTATTGGTGCAATTATTATGTTTGTTGCTATTGTTATTCTTATTCGTATTTGTGTTACTAAATGAGTAATGGTAATAACATTCTTGTTATTCGAATGGTTAATATCATTATCAATATTATTGGTATCTTTGTTTTTACTGTTGTTGTTACTATTATTGCTGTTATTGGTGTTGGTGGCATTATTGTTGTTCTTACTGTTGTTATCACTTTCTTGCTACTATGATGAATAGTATTGTTATTGATATTCTTATTGCAGTTCTTATTATTGGTTATGAGTAACGCTATTTATTGCTGCTAGTGCGTTGTTATTTCTATCGTTGATCGTGTTTTTTGGTCCTATTACTATGATGACTATTATTTCTACTATCACTATTATTATTTGTAGTGTCATTCGTATTGTTAGTCTTGTTATCATTATTGTTGTTCCTTGGGCCAAAACCATTTACGCAGCGGTACTGAAGAGTCGGGTTGAAAGCGCCACCCTGCCCAGGATGTGCAACAAGCTGGGTTGCTGTTAAGGAACTTAAATTAAGTTACCATAATGGGTATATATAGTAAATAATAGGGTTTCCCCAATATAGTAACTTAAATTAAGTTCCTTAACAGCAACCCAGCAAGGTGAACAAGCTGCATCATGACTGCATAGCGACTGGCAGATGGAGGGCCTGCGTCAAAGGCCCACCGTGCAGGTGGAATCCCTCAGATCCCTTCTGGGAGGTTATGACCAAGGGCAAATGGTCCATGCGGTAGCCGGGCCCGCAGAGCTCCACCAGATAAGGCAGCAGGTTCCTCAAAGGGCTGATCTTGAGTTCTAGTCTGGCCTCTTTATAACCCCAATATACTATAGTAGTTTCCATCTTATTTTCCATTATCCTAATATAACCCCTATATAACCCTTATATAAGTCTGATCGTGAGTTCTTGTCAAGTCTGGCCTCTTTTGATCCCCGACTCTGAGCTTCAGACGGGTGGGCCAAGACTTCGCGGAAGGGCTGGCAATGAGGCTTTGGCCAGCCTCGCATCTGAAAGGTATATTATAATATATCATACTTTATTATAGTATAATTATGATTATGATATATCATACTACATTCGTATATTATGGTATTGTGTTATAGTATTATGTTATGTTGTAGTATAGGGCTCAGAAGCCTTTCAGCCAGTCTCAGGCTTTGGCCAAGCATTCCGCCAAGGTCGCGTCGCCCGGTTTTCCCATCCCCTGAGAGGGCGCTGCCAGCTCCTCAAGCTCTGCAGCACATCAGACTTATATAAGGGTTATATAGGGATAATGGAAAAGAAAATGGAAACTACTATAGTATATTGGGGTTATATAGGGGTTATATAGGGTTATATAGGGTTATATAGGGGTTTTGGAAAAGAAAATGGAAACTACTATAATAATGGATTATATAGGGACTATAGGGTATATATTGGGGATTATGAAGCCTTTTTTTTGGTGGTTGAACCTAGTAAGATAATATTCCTTACATAAAATACTATACCCAAAAGGAGGATATAATCTTACTCTATATTGGATACCATAGTATGCCATGTAAAATACTACTCACTTTGGGTCTTGCAAGCGTGAAGCAAGGTTGTCAATGATAGTAGGAAAACAGAGCATAGCTCTTCATAGAAAGTCAGTAGCGATACCCCAGCCGCCTTCCAGCTATTTGTGCTATCAAGCTGCTTGTGTTGCGAAGCTCACTGTCCTCGCGCTCCTGCAGGCTCTCTGCACCAAGCGCGGGCTATGTAGGCTGCTGAGGAAGCTGCAGGATTGCACCTTGATTTCGCCGGAGTGGGCATCGATGGCTTTGTTCATGCGTTCGACCTCTTCTTTGGACAGAGCTCCACGTACGTGTAGGAACCCGTTCAGGTCGAAGAAGAACTTTTCCTGATCTGACATCTTCGGCGTGCCAGAACTGGTGGCAGCCATCCTGCGAGAGTGCCGCCGAGGTTGGCCGGGGGGTCCAGTAAACAAGATTCCTTTCCTTGAAATAGATTCCTAGGAACGCTCGACATGCCTACACACTCTTGCTAGGCTGAGGTCAAGACCTCATCACGCGTGCAGGCCTGCAAGAAGTTGTTCCATTCTTTTTTGAGACAGGTTGCCACTAATGATGACGGCAGTGCGGAAGATGGTGAGAATCAAGAAAATCATGATGATGATGATGCTGCTGCTGGTGGTGGTGGTGGTATTGGTGATGACCGTAAAGATTGCCACGGTCCAGCATCCCTCTTGATGAGGACAACGACAAACACATGCTGATAGTCATGGCAGCATACACACGGACAATCCCTGCCCTTTACTACCTAAACTTCCCCTGAGTGCGCCTGGAACCGACGATATTTCCCTGCATTCCGCAAAATGCCTCAAGTTGTCTCTCCCCTTGGTGTGCTCCTAGTTTCGAAGGAAATCATGTTGAAAAACATCTGGTCTTGGACAAGCAATCAAACAATGAATAATCGTAAAAGATCCCTGGCATCCATACATAAGACCACCTACGCAACCCACATGCCAGCTTTGAATGAAGGGCTGCTGACCTATAGTCTTTCTGCATGACCCATACATCATGCTAGTATATCTATATCTTAGTACTTTCCTTTGAAAATGACACCTTCTTTCAACGTAAGGGGGATCCCCACCACAGTCCAATTGACATCTTCACATATGCGGGAAGGTTCCAAAGGGTACGCTAGTCTATGAAACTTCTGGTGAGAGCTTCAAAGCATTAGGGCCCCCCTTTGGGGTCCACATTTTAGCATCTAAACTTGTACGAAAGTGTTCCACTAATTTTGGATTCCTCCAAATGGGTTCTTCTAGAATGGCCTGCGCCAACTCGATGTGGCGCGCAGCCAGCACGAGCTCAAGGGGCGCATGCACGCGACTGTCAGGCTGACAGCATGGGCATTTCTTTAAAAAAACTCAAACTGTATGGGCCACTATATGGGTTTCCTTAGGTCTTTTGTCGTACCCTAGGTCACTTTTGAAGCTTAGGGGACATGTGGGGTCTATGCCCTCTTGTTCAACCTTGCTGCGGAAAACCACGTCATCCTTCGGGCTTGTTTGCTGTTGAGGCTTCAGCCCTTTGCCAATTAGGAGCATTCTTCGGGACCCTATACAAGGCACACACAGTCTTTAAGTGCTGGACACCCTCACTTAGCGTCTACTCCTTTGTTCACCGATTTGTGTAGGACCTGTACTACCTGTGGACTGGTAGTGCAGGAAACTGGTGCGACATGCATGGATGTTTGCCAACAGCCTTGCAGCAGTCTGCAGCATCTTACATGCAGAGTGTCAGCGACTGAGGGGGGTCTGATAATCAGCTGAGGCTGCTGCTCAGCAGAACCAGAGCCGGCAGCAGCAAAGCCACTTGGGAGCTTGCTCGCCGCATGCAGGCTGAAACTAAGTGAGGTCTCTTGCTTGGATACGGCGTCTGATCCAAAGCTCGTGGTATACTTGTTTGGACATGTCTGGACTCTAGCAATGTACTGCTGACAAGTAGAACATATGGCCGGTGCCCAGCGCTCCTGCTGCTGCCCCTCCATTGAGCCGAGTGAATTCAGTGGGGCTTTTGAGCACTGATCAACATGGAAGGGATGATCGCTCCAAAGGCCGCGCAAGCCTTTTTGTACTCTCGCTTGTTGGTGCACTGGCATGGTTGTGATTCCTCCTTTAAAATCGAGGTCACGTGTCCCCATGCCTTAAGGTCTTAAGAAAATGGAATGATATTTGTCTTGCCTGCGCGCTCGCGGGGCATGAGACAATACTGTTGTGTTGCCCGGGCTTTATCAAGATTGGTGAGACGCATGCCATCACGAATCGCACTGTCAGCAAACTCTACGATAGGGGGACATGGTGGTGATCCATTTTAGCTCAACAGCCACCCACAAGTGGTACTGTCTGCCTGCCTGTCTCAACCTTGGAGCCAGGTCAGGAAGGCTCAGCCCTCATCACTCCACACAAAGGATCCCGGACCAATGGGGATGTCTGTGCAAGGCAACATGAAGGCATGTGTTGCAGGGAAAAACTGAAAGAAGCACATGCAAGATGGTCTCCCAACAGTACACACACACTCTCTCTCTCTTCTTCTTCTTTGCCTCCTCACAGCCCAAATCCCCCAGCAAGAGGGCGCTGTCTCCTCCTCTTCTTCTTCTTCTTCTTCTTCGGCTGGCTATGCGCACTGCAAGCAATGCGCTGGGGTTGCACACCAAGCCAGCGGGCTCTCACAGTCAAGGTCCCACAGAGAAGGTGCAAAGCACCACCCATCTCCTGCATTCACATTAGACTCCCCATATCAGTCTCCTCCCTGCTCAACTCTCGTGCGAAACTTGTACTCCTTCCCCGCAGCTCAGCCATCCTCCTAGAGAACCACCAAAAAAGCACCCTCTCACTCTGTCGGCCTGATCGGAAGACCTCCAGCAGCTCCATGGACTTTGCGTAGTCCTTCGCCTTCAACGCCTCCCCCACCTCCCTGAGCAAGCATGAGGCTGATTTTTTGGGGGGATATGCATGCAGTCCACTAACTCAGAACCGAACTTAGCATCAGCCTGCAGCTTCCTTGAGATCTTGTCAGGCGCCTTTCATGAAGGAAGCATGTGCAATGGATTTCGATCTGAATTCGTAAAGGTGCTACTTTGGCCGCTGGAAGCACACGGGATGGATGCCCTAAATATACACTCATCATCATTCATCAATGTTTGACAGGATCCCTTTATGCACGGATCAAAACACAAGCGTACTTTATACGGTTGATACTAAGGCTCGTGCATGACCGGAGGTGAACCGTTGGAATTATGGTGTGATGGTACACTACTGGGTTGCTGGTAAGGAACTTAATTTAAGTTACTATATTCGGGGAACCATATTAATTACTATATATACCCATTATGGTAACTTAATTTAAGTTCCTTAACGGCAACCCAGTAAGGTCATCCACGATGTTTGGCGTCACCCGTAGGAGCCTCGTCCAGGCGCTGGATGCTGCCGTAAGCATCCAGGGCCACCATAAACCTCGTGATCCCAAGAGACTCCCCAGGGCTCAGGCCAGTTTGGGCTGAAGGATACTCTACACAGCAAATTTAAAACTGTTTGACCAGAATTCCTCCAGTCCACTGTCTGGACTAAGTGGCGGATAGCATGTTTGTTCTATATGTCACATTGAAGAATAGATGCGATATGCCGGAAGCCCTCATTGGCGGGGGCTCTTCCTTTCTAATCCATTTGTCATGTCCAGCAATCATGAAGCTCATGCTGTCCCTCATTTCAGTTCAACATGTGGAGGTTGCCCAAAAACCGGTCTTTGCTCAGCCACTCAAAACTTGTTGATCCATACCCTATGGAACTGGACCTCTCTCTCAGCATGCGGACGCACAGCCCCTGTTGCAGTGCGACGGGCACGGGTGAGCGCGCTCAGGGTGAACACTACAAAACATGATTAGCATGAACTTGACCTGAAGCAGCGGGGGTAGCCACTCAGCGGCCGAACATCCAGCACATGAAGGCACCCTCATGAGAATGCCATCTGTCACGATCTTTCACCAACTCTGTGAGGCTCAGCTGGTGTGCACCTACGAGCAAGCTCTTTTTTTTGCCTGTTGCAAATTGCAAAAAAAAAACAAATAGGCTGAAGCTGTGGCGGCGAGTAGAGTAATAGCGCAAAACAAATTTTTGTTCTAACGGAAGAGCTGCAATGCAGAACTGAGGTCCGGACCAACTTACAAGCAAGGCTTGCTCCATCTGGAGCTGAAAGTTAGGGGGCCCTTCTTCGAACAACCCCTAGACCGAAACGGATGGGTAACAACGCAAAATGCTTGGACCAACCAATCACTGTGGTCACTGGGATCATGGTTACCAAGCCGCTAGCTTCTTTTTGTTTGATTTAAACAGTGGACATGAGAGCGAATCAGTACGGTCTCCTACTTAGGTGCTGAATGGATAACCTTTGGCTGCTTTTGAGATATAATGCGTCTGGAATATTTTATGAGGGACCGCCAACTTAGGTCCGGGATTCGCCCGAAGCTTTTGAAGCAAGTGAAGCTACTAGCTTCGGAGCTTCGCACCTCGCCCTCTAAAAATGAAGCAAGTAACTTCGCCCGAAGCTCTGAAGCAAGTGAAGCTAGTAGCTTCGGAGCTTCGTGCTTCGCCCCCTAAAAATGAAGCAAGTGGCTTCGGAGCTTCGCGCTTCAAAACCGAAGCTCGTCTGAACCACCCCTGGCGAGCAAATTATTTTATGACCCTACCATATTCAGAAGGTCAAGCTCTTTTGGGCCAGGGCCCTGACAGCAAGAGGGTTGACCAATGCCCTGTGGATCGAAGTATGTCGCTGTTCATGAGGTGGCGGAATGAAGGGGTATGGAAACAGAAGCCGTTCACTGATCCATACCCTATGCATTAGTGTATGGAACAAATGTCCACGCGCAGCTTCTTCCATACCCGCACATGCGTGGGAGGCAGCCATAATCAACTCTGTTTCCAAAATGAAAGAGATAGTATAGGAAAGCTGTCACGGGAAGCCCACGATAGGGACCCGTATTATGATGTATTCAGGGAAACCCCATCTAGTTACTATACTGGGCCCGAAGCTTTTTGAACTTCTTTCCCGTGATGAAGTCATCATTGACAGCTTTGTCTGCCTGCCAGCCACCACAGGCGCCCAACAAACTTGTTTCCAACAAATACTGCGGGGGATCTTGGCCATGACTGGCTTCAGTCCGAGTCGGAAGGATAACATTGTTCAAGCATGTTGCCCAAGTTGACACTTCGCCACAATGAGCCCCTCTCATGATTGGCCTGCAGCTTCTTGTAGCCCTCCAGGATTAGCGGGAGGAACTTGATCCTTCGCAAGAGTCACATGCTCATGGAGCTATCGTGGCATACGTAGTCGCTTTTTTTAACATATCAATCTCGAATGCCATACCGCGAATATGAGAAGAACACGCCATCCATTTGCCGGAAACTACCACGTAGCAGCGGAAAGAGCAGGCTGTCAAGTCCTGACAGCTCTGACCATTGACCTGGCAGGATTTCTGTGAGCCATGCATTGGCTCGACTCTACTAAGCCACAGCATCATCAAAGGCGCACTACTACAACATTGAATGCAGAAACGCAGAGGGGCATTTCCAGAAACAAGGATCCCCATGTGGACCCCAAAGGCACTGGAATTACTGGAATGCTGACTTGAGGAATACCTCAGAACCGCAAAACACCCGTCAGGTCCTCTATGGGACCATCATGTTGAGAAACCCTCAATTTGTTTTATCAAGCAAGCATGCCACAGGTGCGCACGATCACGGTCACCTGCTTGTGCTGGCGCTGACTGAAGGAGCACCTCTGACATCCATAACTTGCAAGATGCCAAAATTACTTAAGATATTTTGGCTCATATGAGCATTTGTTACAGAGAGGGTATTCTGAGGAACGCTCAGAGCATGTATGCTTCCACTGAAGGTTCTGTCGTGATCATCTTCAGAAACCCTCATAGTTCTGAGGTAGGGCTGAGATGATATCCTTGAACCCTAAAACCCTACAGTGACCCTAAAACCTGTCCTCTATGGGACCACCATGTTGAGAAAACCAAACGCTGAACCCTAAACCCTACTATTAGCCTTCTAGGCTTTGGTAATTCTGGACCTTCGGTGAGCGTCCAAGCCCACTGCTGCCAGCAGCGATCACAAGAAGACACACTACCTCTAGATTATGTCCGGCCCCAGATTATCCCTGTAAAGCCCTCTTAGAATTCATGACAGTGATATCCGTAATGATTATGGTAACAATCTTGGCAATAGTAACTTGAGGGCAATGGGCGACCTACACTTGGTTGCTGTTAAAGAACTTAAAATCAGTTACCAGAATATGGGTATATGATAAACAATAGGGATTCCTGATTCTAGGTAACTTTAACTAAGTTCCTTAACAGCAACTGAATATAGGATCATCTGAGGACGCCTGAGAAGCTAAAGCAGCTGCCACCGCACGCCGGTGGACGTCCTGGACATCGTTGCTTCATAACATACTTGATCTTACTAGTGGATAGTAGGGGCTAAGGGAATATATCATATATCATGTAGGGAATACATTGATTCTATTCCCTTATTCCCTACTCACCCTCAGTAATTGATACTCTTCGGAAGCCCAGGCGAAACCTACGCGTCCTTTCAAAGGTCATCAATCTGCAGGGTTCCCTCTTAGGTTTTTGCCGGCAGTGAAACTCCACTTGAGGCTATTTTCAAATATGTGCTCTCAATCTACGCCTGCACGTCACTGCGCAGAAGCTGCAAAACAGCTTTAGAATCCGTTAAGTTGAACCTCGGGTTGCTTAGGTGGAGCAGGACGACATAAAGCTCCTTCCCGGGGACAGTCACAAAGTTCTGATGCCACCATGCCAGGCAGCTGCAAACCGCCTGCAACGAATCTTTGACAGCACAGGTTGCTCCAGTGGGTCATCCTGAGCATGCCGCCACCACACAGCATAGGCGCCTTAATTACCACAGCTAAGCACACTCGCAACACCTCAGACTAGAAGGCATCCGGCGTGACAGCTGCAGCTCGGAAGCCTGGCTGAAGCCGTGGACAAAGTGCCCAGATTGCAGAGGTTTGTTCCCTGCCTTTTGTCCGCATGGCTCAGGCAGGGTACTAAAATTGGCGAAGCTCTGACAACTGGGAGCTGCAGACAACATGCAGATTACATGACGGCATCCACGCACTCAGGATGTCTACAGGAGAGTTGGCTGGCCTAGAGGCATGTACAGAAGGAAGAGCTGGGCCAATGTGTGCAAGATGAAAATCTTTTTCACATGTGCTGATCGCTCAGGTAGCTTGTCTTCTGAGAAGGCATTGACACGCAGCGGCGCACATCGCACTGCTAAATGCAGTGACCATTGACTTACTCGGTGTGCATACCAGAAGAAGTCTACTGTTCGTTCAGGAGATGGAGGGGCTGTACGTTGCCCTACTCGGACACCGAGCTTCGTCCTAAAGCTCTCAGTTTGCAATGCCCCATCGGAGGGACTGCTATCGATGTAGCCCATGTAGCCATGAAGATCCAGACGTGCTTGTTCGTACTGCCTGTCGCAGAACTTCATGGTATCGATTTGGAAGTTGAAAGGCTCGCGGGCAGAATTGAAATCACCAGCATTGTAAAGTCCATTTAGGATCACACACGTTTTCCGTGATGACTCACAAACACAAGCTAAAATCCATTGCCGTACATGCGCATCTTCCAAACTGGTATCCCTAACTTTGGGACACCCCCCACCTATCAGACCTCCGACCAAGCCTTCAATCCAAAATGCGCCGCCTTGAACTGCGCATCTGTTCCATGGAATCCCCAACATTGCGCTGGCCTCAGCGCAACAGAGCGCTGTACTATGGGCATGGGGCAATTTGTGATCCCTGTTTTGGTGCGGTCATGGAAAGAAGGATCCTACCATGCAGATCTATGCAGGGGTACATGAAAAATGTACCTTAGTCTCTACCCATGGCTGGTGATTCTGTTGCACCTCTGCAGCATCTGAAGACTCACAGACCCAACGTGTCCCAAGTGCAGATTGGCAAGATCGGGCACATGTCGTGTACCAGACAAGTCAAATCCAAACTGATGGCATAATTTGGGCCCACAGTGTAAGAGCCCCACACTACGGTGGATGGAGGAATCTTGCACCACCTACATAAATAGGCATCTGCGATGACGTGACGATTCCACCCACAGTATTGCATGAACTCGAACAATCTTTGACAGCATGTCCAAACACCAAGGACATAGAGAACAGTTGCATCTCTTCTCAGCATTGCCTTAAAGCCGCAAGTCACAATGTTTCATCCCAAAATGATTGGGGAGTATGCGTCGTCCACTCAAACGCTTTGCCAGCCTGTGCCCGGCCAACCATGCGCAAGTTAAGCGCGCCGCCCTATTCGCAAGCCATCCCTGACCACCACGCCCCGAACCTTAAAGCCAAAAGCTCGTGGTCCTGCATTGCTCTAAAAAGTTCCTCACCACGATGGAATCCAAACAATACAAGCAACAAACAGCTCAGGAATCGAACCCTTGATCCTCGCTGGATAGGACTCATGGCTGCGGGCATGCGGCATACATGTTAACAAGCACTTACCATAGTACTCTAGCGCAACAGCAATACTCATACTGACAGTATTGAACGCCTAGCAAGACGAGTTACAACCGTGGTCGTGATAGTATAACATGACAATGTTGGGTTCAAGAGACCTCCATTCTGTGTCCTGGAACTCCCACAAAGGCCCTGGCGGCATAGTCATTCAGCAGGCGAAGCTCTTGATTCGACATGTCGTAGCCTCGGGCTTGCCCGTGTCGCCGCTAGCATGGCAAACAATGTGATACATATTGATTTCAATTAGGATGCAGAATCGTTTCGGTTTTGCTGCCTGGGCTTCACAGTTGAGGCTGTGGGGGTTTGGGAATGACGTGGAAGCATTTTACCGACAGGTTTAAGGCTTTGCATTGATTAAGCACCGTTTGTTGTTCAAAGGTTCTGGCGTGGGATTGCGGGCTTGGGGCTTGGGGAATGGATCATTTCAAGAGCCCTATGGGAATGTCTACAGGGATTGTGAAAAGGCCCTTGCATGCATGGTTTGCAAGTGCCTACGGCCAGATCAGAGAGCTGACCAATAAGGCCCAAATTGAAACAAGCGACCGACTAGCGCTTGAAAACAGTGTGCCCGCACGCCTTCATGGAGAGTAATCTTATTCCATACCGGAGACCATGTTATTCATGCTCAAAAATAGCGACCAAAATGTTGCTGAACAGAAAACGTTTTCTTGAGCACCCCAATTAGTATGTTGGGTTTCATTGGGGCACCGCATTGAAGTCTACATAACTTGTTGCTGGTGTGATACCAGCCTGTATTATGGTGTAGCTCCAGAATGGTAAGCTTGGCTTTCTTCTTGCTGTGGAGCCGTGGCGCGCAGTGTCCAATTGAAGACACGCGCTAGCACGAGCATTGCACCAACAAGATCAGGGCCACAAGGGGTGGGCGATTGGCTCGAAAGCAGCGCAGGGTCTCAAGGAACCACGTAGAGTTCAACCAGGGTCACAGATTTGAGAGCTTGACGTGCAAAGCAAATCTTGTCAGTCTGTGCTTGCTATGGCCTTCAGCGATTCGAACTTAGCACCCACAATACTTATATATAACAATCTGCAAGAGAGATGCAAAGCATGCTG